TAGTAGCGACGACAAAATCACGCAATCGGGTAGAGGCAATTTAGTACGATAACCGCGACCCAATTGCTCAATATTTGGCAAAATTTTAGTCGCACTCCCCGTCGATTCAGAAGTAGTCTTGGGAGGAGTATCACAAGGAACATCAATGCTATCGAAAGAAGTAATTTTAGGAGATGATAATTGCTCATGTTGAGTGATGATTTGGGTATCATCGCCATCATCATAAATTGGAAGACTACCATCAACCAAAACTGGAGCCTTAGAATCCAAAGAAGAACCATAAAGAAACATTTCTTCCACAAAACTTACATCCCGAGATATCACAAAATCATGAGATTCCAGATCATACAACCGCCTTCCTTTCTTTCCAAACGGATAGCCGACAAAAACATATTTTCAAGTACGATTGAAATCATCCACAATCATTAAAAATATTTTGCGCCACAAGAAGCAGGAGTTCTATACGGACCCCAAAGATCACAGTGAACAAGCTGAAACGAACAAGCAGATTTATTCTCACTTAAAGAAAAACTTTGTCTTGTTTGTTTTGCACGAAAACAAATATCACAGAAACTCCTAAAAGACAAATCATCTCTTTCAAAATCAACTCCAGAAACTAACTTCATAACTTGATTAGAAGGATGGCCTAATCGCCGATGCAATAGCTCAAATGATGTCTCATTCGGTTTTATTGATGCAACCATCTGAATGTCCCGAAAAAAATATGACCTATCTCTTTGTCCACCCACTCCAATCGGTATCCTCGTAAATGCGTCCTGTATGAGACAAGATTCCAGTAAAAAATAAACTTCACAACCAGAATCTGATAAATGTTGGGACAAAGATATTAGATGACATTCTAACTCAGGAACAAATTGAGCATCATGTAAAATCACTTTTGAACTTAAATTTGCAGTCCCTATTTTTGTTGCCATGACATATTGTCCGTTAGGCAATCGTGGACAGCCACTAAAGCCACGGACATCTGTCAAAAACTTAAGACAACCGGTCATATGCAGGGCGTCGGGCCCGGGTGAAAGGGGTGACCGCCAGGGCCCAATCTAAATTGGACTCATTATTTATTTATGTTATATATAAATTATTTGACATTAATATATTAATCCAAAAGTATGGTCTAGTGGTTAAGTTCTATCTATATGCATTAAAAAGAATTAAATAAAGTTAATATTAATAGTATTATTGATATTTTACATATAAAAATATTAAGAAATTTATTTTATTTAATTATTTATATTTTATTATAGATAAAAAAATATATTATTTATACTGGCCCCTAATTTTTGTTTTAACATTGTTAATATTAATTCTATTATTGATATTTTATCTAAAAATTCAGAAAAAATTATTTTATTTAATAGTTTATATTCTATTATAGGTAAAAAAAATTGGAGTAGATCATTTATATATATTTAGGGGTCTTTTATTTTTGTTTTAATTATTTTTTTGCACTAAAAAGATAATAAATATTAGACAAAATTATTATTATTATTAGGCAAAATTATCAATAACTCATTTATGATTTCAAAACTCAGTGTAAATCATCTATATATTTTAAAAATGATATGAACCTCCTTATACTTTAAAAATGTTCTATGAAACTTATTTTTATATTTTTTTGATGATGAAAAGATGTCTTTTCATCTATATTTTTTGCATGGCGAGGGTTTAATATAGTGTTTGTTAAAATATAAGGGAGCGTTACACAATTTTTAAAAATTATACTAGAAAAAATATTTTTTTTATTTATATTTTATTATAGGTAAAAAAAATATTATATATATATATATATATTTAAAGGCCCATAATTTTTATTTTGTCCCGGGCCCTTTGAAAGTCAGAAATGACCCTGGTCATATGGCGTGTTGCGCCCGAGTCATACATCTAAAGTTCAGGCGTACCAGATAGTTTTTCTTGAGGATTGGTTTGTGTTGTCTTTATTAAGTTAGCAAGAGCAATCTATTGGTCATTGTTGAGCCAACTGATTGCCATAGGACCACTACTATTGTTGTTAGCAACAGATTCACCAACTGCCGCTGCTGAAGTTTGAACAGTATTTATCCGAACGCCACTTTTTTTCCTCATCCCCGGATTGCGACGTCTACCTTCAGGATACCCAATTATTTCATAGCATACCACAACTTCATGTCCCAGACGCTTACAGTTGTTAAAAATTTTTCTTTCCGAATAACCAATAAGTTCATAACATGTGGTTGAGTCATGTCCTAATTTGCCACAATGCCCGCAAGCCTTGACTTTTTCTTTTTCATCATTGGGAACACGATGTTTGGGTGGTGCTTTGACTGAAAATCCCACAATTTCTATTTCTTCTTTGCCCTTGTCCATTAATAGTTAGAAATTGCATGCGTTAAATGTTCATATTATATGCGATATTTGATTGATTTTTATTGGATTCTACCTAATTTATATGAGTATTATTTATTTGCTGTGTTTAGAGGGCAAATATCAAATTTGGCGTAATTGGAAGAAAAATTCAGATTTGCACCACCTAGTTAGTAATGGTCATGACTAACTATACCCTCGTGACATAAGAATTTAATTAAATGTCCAGCTACAAAATAATTAGGGCAAAAATTAAATAAAAAGGGAGGATCATACGCATAAGAGAGGGAGAACTGCCAGAGCAGATGAGCAGAAGATTGACAGACTCATAGATCGCGCGGGAACAAATCACAAATCGACATAGAAGATTTCCCATCCCACTATGATTTTATCTTTCTCTATTGTTCTTTGTTATTTGATTATGGTGTAGATGCTTTTATGTTTTGAGGAATGATAATGTTTTGGTTCATATGTTTTGGAGATTCTTGACTTTCTTTATAAAAGTTCTTTTTAATTATCAATATTTATCTAATTCTGAAAATAACGTTTGTGATTGTTAGATTGATTGGATATTTTGGTACCGATATTTAAATTAGTCTGATAATCTAAAGTCAACTCAGATAGGATATCCTGTAATTGTATTCGCATTTGAATAAGTGACAACCAGGTTGAATAGTCCATTCTCGCATAATAGACAATCAAATCTAATATCTCCTCTTAGATAATGATTGTTTTGAATTGGGTTTTTCTAGATTAGAATGCGATTAGGCAATACTTCCTATGGGCGTACCTAGGTTTATTAGCTTAATTAGGGGTAGTTAACGGTCGTACCTTAATTACCTACACTGTAAAGAAAAATTGGTTGTCAGAGCTTGTTGATAACTATAACCAATTTATTAATACTTTAATAAGAACTAACTTTATTGAATCAATGTAAAACACAAGTGCCATAACTGCATCATCTCTTAGCGAGACATCCCTTGACAGCTAGTTCTCCGTTAATTTAATTATTTTGTTATTTTGTTTTCATTAAATAATAAAAGAAAATTTCCCCTTTATTTATTGCATTAGAACGCAAAAGAGTGAATCACACAATCCCTGTAGAGACGATCCCTTTCTCTGTATTAAATTAAATTGTGCTCACGGAATAGGTGAATTATTTTATTGACCGGGCAACAGGTCATCCATCGACTGAACTCGCTCATCTTGCATCATCATAGAATAAACTCGGTTCAGGCTAGGTAATGGATCTTGAGCCACAACATTGGATCTCGCTGTTCCGAAATTGTTTCCATCCAAACCAAGAAGAAACTGATGAACTTGTTCTTCGTCTCTTATTTTCTGCCACTCAGACTCTGACCACATTTGCACATAAGAATTTTCACAAAATTTGATAATTCTTCCCATATGGCTTTCAATTTAAACCAAACAAAATGCCCCGTAACTGTTGGATTCTTGGGCCATTGATGATCGAAAATCTTTCTTTGATATCCCTCCACAACACGGTTGCCATCTCTATATGTGAAATTGATGAACGCGTACCGAGGGATCGATGGTGTTCCGAATCCATGATACCAGCAATGAATTATTGGTCCACCAATCTTCAAGATCTGGAGAAGTTTCATCTGGCTTTGTTATCGTGCTGTCAACAAAGACGAATTTCTTTTGGGCTCTTAAAGTTGTTCTCATGGAACGAGACCAATCATCGTAATTGCTCCATTTCAGTTGCACCTGTGTAATCAGAAGTCCAGGATTATCATTAAGGGAGAGATCATAAGGCGATATTGTCTTGCGCCTTGATATCTCTTCGACATCTTCTTTATTTTTATCGCTTGTATCAGTCATGGCAGCAGGTGGGTGAGTTATAAACCTAGCTCTAATACCATGATAGTTTTACGCAAGAGAATAAATTGATATACAAAGAAATACTCGTCTTTCTATATTCACAACACCGGTATATAACCTGATCCAAAACACCTAAAGTAAATCCTAATTAGACCAAAACAACACAATGAAATAAATAAGACACAAAATTACAGTTGCTTACGTATATACATAAGATCCATCAATCATGCCTACAATATTGCACCGCAATATTTACCAAACAACATTGAACTCCAGTAGACGATGCGGAGTTAGACAGCAACGGCGGACTGGTTCTCCTCCAAACCAGCTCTGGTCATCTTCTCCACAGTTCTGCTGGGAACAGCTCCGATTGCTTCTTTTTTCATTTATTTCACCAATAGTAATGCAAAAATTGAAGGAGAATGTAGTGTACTGCATATTGCAAAAATTAAAAGAAAGAACATAGAAAAAGAAAAAGGAAAAAAAGAGGAGAAGAACCTAGTGCTCCAGGCAGTAATATACGCTGCTGCCATGTCATTTATGTTAAGTCCTAGATTTGTAACGGTGATCAAAATTGATTAAACGATTAATTTTTGTATATTTGGATCAAAATTGATTAATTCAAATTATATGAAGATTAAAATTGATTTTTTTCCTATAAATTATATAAATTAAAATAAATAATAATAATAAATTGTACAACATATGTGAAATAAGACTCGTAAAATAATATGGCATAATGTAAATAATTTTTTATATCTTAAGAAGCTCATACATAACATAGATCGAACGTCATTGAGAGTAAACTCTATCAATTGAAGTAATTTTTCTTTTTTTTTTTCTCTATTAACACATGATCTCAAATATTCCAATTAAAGAAATGAAGTAAAATTCTTCATTTAATTCTTTCAATCATCACCTTATTTGATCAAAGTGTTCAGAGATTCGTTTTTTTTTTTTTTTTTTTTTTCTGCCAAATTGATTTAGAGGATTATCTAACTTTAGATCATCTTTCTTGTCATTTATGTTTACTTGTAGTTATTAGTTTTAGGATAAGAAAATCGAATAAATAAATAAATAAATAAAAAATAACACTTTTATTTGAACTGAAAAATAAAATAAAAGAAGTTCGAAACACAACTGAAACATAACGAACAAACTAAATGACTCAAATTTCAAATCAGTTCACTTTATCAAACAAAAAATTGATATAACAAAAGAGCAACTCGGACGACGGACACCCAACGACCCTAGCTCCTGCCCAAAAAGAAAAGCTCTAAAACTCTATATATCGGAATCGTTCAATTTTGGAGGAATCGAACCGTAGAAACTTCACCAAATACTCTCCAAAGATACACCCAATACTCGTCTATAATCATGGTAAAAACTTCGGAAAGCCTCGCCGTTAAACACATAACAAATATAAAAAAAATATCGAAGAGAGTTCTGAGAGAAAAACATACAGAGCGGTGCATGTGTCTAACGTAAGGAACAACTACATATATATCTACCACGAACGGACGGCTAGGATTAAAATCCTAGAATGGACAGTTGGGATCTGATTTGGGCAGAACTAGGTCGCAAGTCGGGTCATCACCGGATACGAGACATGGGTCTGAACCGGATATGGATTGAATTTGTCCAATAATCCAACATTTCTCCACTATTTTTGGTCGAAATTCACATGGGTAAAGAACTCATCATTGTCACACAATTATTTTCAATAAAACTCATAAGTACATATTTAGAACAAATATGATTCAAATTTCAAATAGATAGGCATTTAGTTCTCTTTAAAATCACATCACAATGATTGAGTTTATCAAACTCAACCTATTGATCCCACACAAATATTTAAATAGTTACTTTAAAGCATTCTAATATTCCACACTGGAAGTAAACACAAATCACTTAATCACCTCTTTCAAATATGAATACAAATTTAAAAATAACTCGGACATTTGTCTATTTCTTTCTATATGCATACCTAAAATCACTTTTGAATCACTAAGGGTGTGTTCGTTTGTACTATTCATAAAAAATTTTCTCCCCAAAAATATCAAATCAAATACCTATTTTTTATTTTTTATATTATACTAAAAATCAATTTTACATTCAAAACATCACATCAACACCTATTTATATCACATCATACAACTATTCAAATTCAAAATTTTTACTATTCAAATCCCAACTCAAAATCCAAACCCCAAACAAACACACCCTAAAAAAACTCATATCAAATTGATCACTCAAACACTTATTAATTTGATTCTTTACACTCAAATCAACACTGATCAACAAGTTATCATCAAACATAAATCAACAAAAAATCCATATATATTATTAATTGATTCATACTGTGCACACATGATACATAGATATGCATGTGACTAAGGCTTTGCTTTGTAATGCAATATTTGAAAAAAAAATAGTTTTTATTAATGAACATCACATTATATTCTATTCGAAAGACTGCCACAAAACTGTGCAAAGGCTACTATCATCCTGATTAAGACATAGCCTTTTCTTAATATTTTGTATATTTCAATAAACTGCATAGTAACAAACCAACGTATTCATCAAATATGACAATTAGATTTTCTATATGTCAAATGCAATGAATGGACCATTAAATTGCAACAAATATAAACACAATTAGACATAATTTTTTTACACACAAAAAAAAAAAAAATGAAAAATGAAAGAATCAAAGATAAAAATTCATAGCCTCACAGTGAGATACGAAGGAGAAATAGAGCAGACTGAACTCCTCAATGGCTGTTAAGGGCCGTTTAAAAATTAGTGGTGAATCTGGACAAAAAGAAAAAAAAAAAAACACGAAATCCACCAATACGACTATAAGCTTGGAAATAAGGGGGTGTATCAATCACATAGCCGGAGAGGGTCACTTGGTCGTCGCCGAGCAACGCTCCCACCGATTTGTCGGAAAAATAAATTTAAGGTACAAACTCACAAGATTCTGCCGTAGGGGCCACCGAAGGAAAATACGACCCGGTGCATCGGAATCGTAACCGACGACTTCTTTCTTCGCCATCCTCGGCGGCGGTGACTACCCGGCGACCATCGGAAATCGGCATGTGGTTGAGAAAGAATCTATCGATGAAGAAGTTTAGGGTTTCGGTAGGAGAAACGTGACGAAACTGAAATTGGAATGGAATTGTGGGTTCGTTCTTTTGTTTTATTTTATTGTTTTAATTTATTTAATTAATTATTGTGTTTAATTAATTTTAATTGTTTTTGTTAAGTATATTTAGATTGAATAAAGCTTATTAAAAATAGAAAGATAATCAAGTAAGTTTGCACAGACGAAAATAAAGTTGTGTGAAGAATGTTGGGAAGGAGGGAGTATTATCTCTATCATATTTTATGTCAGATTTACATCTGAATAAAAATTGGGTATAATATTTAACAAAATAATAGGACTGAAGATATCAATAGCAGTATTCTCAGTAATTTTATGTCTTGTATTAATTTTTGAAAAATATTTAATTTATCATCAATGTTTTTTTGCAAATAAAATTTAAAACTAAAAAATTTTAGCCATCAAATACAATTTACTTCACAAAGAAATTTTAGTATATAGTTATCAAATTTATCCCATGAATCTTTTGCAGTCTTAACAATTTCAATTTATTTTTAAAAAAAAATATAGAATTTTTATTTAAAAATATTCAAATTTGAGAAAAACATATAAAAATAAAATAAAGTAATTTAAAGTTCTTAGCACTAAAATTTGTTTACACACCACACCAATCAAATAGAAATTCAAGCAAAATTACATAAAAAACATTGCTCAAAGACAATAAATCAACTTATTTTTTCTAAAACGGATTTGAAATCACAACAAATAAGCCATAATAGCAATATTCATAAATTAATCAATATATGACTATAATCAGCAGCCCACTATTACATAAAGTAAATAATATTATCAAATATCACACATGTCGAGATTTAGTGATTAAATCACACTGAGTTTCATATTTCACTTAAAGCACATATATCACATAAAAATAAAAAAAAAATAAAAAATAAGCCTTTTACTTAAAATACAAGTTTCTGTAAAAATAATCTTCAATTTTGATTAAAACCAAATTTAAAACTTCATGAGAAAATTATGTTCATAAAAGAAAACACATTTTTCTTTACTTTTTTTAAAATTTATTTAATATATATGTTCAAAACAGATTTTGAAAACTCAATTTAAACTTTTAGAACCACAAAAAAATAAAAATAAAAATGATATAATGAAAGAGCAGCTCCAACAACAGTCAACGGTCACCCGACAACTCTATCTCCTACCCAGAAAAAAGAAATCTCAATACTCTATATTGGAACCATTTGATTATGAAGGAATCGAACCGTAGGAACCTCACCAAACACTCTCCAAAGATACATACAATACTCACCTACAATTTTATGGTACAAACACCGGAAAGCCTCTTCGTCGAACAAACAAAAGATCGGAGAGAAATAAATTGTAAGAGTAAAACACACAGCAACAACGCATGTGTCTAAAGTGAGGAGCAGCCACATATATATATATATATATATATCTACAACAGAACCCTACGATGGACCGCTAGAATATGATTTAGGGGAAATTGGGTTGCGGATTGGGTCATCGCTAGATACCGGTAACGGATTGCGCGCAGAAAATATGCAAAAAAAGAGTCTAAACCATATATGGATTGAGTTCGCCCAAAAATCCAATAGTAGTAATGTCAAATGAAGATTAAAAGATATTCAAGCTTCCTCTTTAAATTTATTATCCATGTATAAGTAACTGGTCAATGTGCTAATATATTTTTAAAATTGATGAACTTGACTTCGGGTGGTGGGTACCACAAGCATGTTTTTTTTTTAGCTTGAACGTTCTTGTCACTTGGGGAGTGAGCCAAAGGACTTAAGCTTTGACTTTGGTTCTCCTTGGCTTGGTTCACACATGAATAATGAATGTTTTGGATAAGAAATTTTTTTTGTATTAATCCGTGAGCCAATTACGTAACGTGGACCTAAATTATTGGGTCAAATTTTTGTAGGCTAAAGCTATGTTGGTTTTATTGGGTCTTCTAGAAGGATTCACTAGCATTTTTATTTTTTGTGTTTTACACAAACATTCATTTGTTATATAGAGATCGAACCTTCAATTTCTAATATGTAAAAAAAAATTCAATTGACCAACTGCAATTCAACTCACCAAAGATGAGAAGTATGATTGTTTAAAAATTATAGCTCAAGTGATTGAATATTCTTTGACATATTATAAGATTGAGGTTCAATCAATGTGGATCAAACTATACGAGAAAAGAAGAGAACTTTCTCGTTTCTTTAACTTACTTATTATTAATATCAAACAAGAATTTCAGTGAGTCTTATGCACCACGGACCATCCTCTTAAATTACAACAACTTGGAGTCCCGTAAGGGATGGGTTGGTGGTGTAGGGGTTGGACTTGTGACCGTGAGGTCATGGGTTCAAACCCCCGACGCCTCAAGTCACCTGCCACACATGGTTCGTCTAGTGTGTCTTTCTCGTCGGGCCTGGTTTGTAGGGTATTAGGTTCGACCGGGGATTTACCCAGTGCGCACTTTCGGGTAGCGGCTTTGGGTTCCCACGTCATAAAAAAAAATGAACAAACTCTTTCAAATTCGTTGACTTAAATCTCACAATTCACAAAAGGAATTTTTCTTTTAAATCAAAATAAAAATCAAGCCTTGAAATTAAAATCCCAATCCAATCAAAATTCGAGAAAATAAATTCAAGATTTACTCGGACTCATAAATTTTCTCACTAAAATATATCTATAAATAAAAATAAAAATAGATAGTCTCTCAAGAATGAGAGTAAAATTAATTCCCTCGTCCCCCACTATATCTCACCCATGGAATATATATACATATATATATATATATCAATCCCTCAAAGTAGACAATAAAATAAATCTACCTGCTGGTTGTTTGATTAACTGTGTACAATCTAAACTTGTTATTTTATTTATTTATTTATATCATTCTCCAGCCTATTGTTGTTTCTCGTTGCTCCACTGCTGATGCAAGAAGGCCATTCGTACATAAAAATTTTAAAAATAAATAAATAACGAGGCTCTATTTAATGTTTTATGTTATTAACTGTATTCAAAATATTACATTCTATTCCTATTCTACAAAACGTTAAACACAACCAAATGGTGATGTAATACCATTTTTTCTTAGGGTGTGTTTGTTTGGGGATTGGATTTTAAATACATCATTCATCCCATTTTTTTCTCCCAAAAATATCAAATCAAACACCTATTTTTTATTTTTTATATTATACTAAAAATCAATTTTACATTCAAAACATCACATCAACATTGTTGAATAATAATGATCATGTCATCTGTGCCACTTCCACCTCAACATATTTGGCTTTATCCCACTGCAAGCTTCATCACTCATTTGAGCCTGGCTAGGTGGCATTCTGTTATAATCACTCTTTGTAAAAGTTTATTTATGGGTGGACCACATGACGTTGACATAAGTTTGTTACACAATTACATTCTTTGTAGATAAATACTCATCCAAAAGGCTACAATATACAAGAGAAAACACTCGGTTTTTACTCTCTCCTTTTACTCTATGTTCTTTTCATCTAATTTGTTCTTGATTCTTTTGCCAATGTAAATTGCTCAATTTCTTCATGGTATCAGAGCTGTAGCTCAATCCCCTTATTATGGCTACAGAAGAAAGCAAGTTAAAGATGTCTGCACAAGCAACTGCAGACACAGCAACCCATCTTCTTTCTCAATCCTTTGGAAATCAACAACATCTCCTGCCAAAGGTGTTACAGCTTAACATTGGTGATCAACCAAACTTGTGTTTATCCTCCATTCTTTTAAATGGAACTAATTCTTTTACTTGGTCTCATCGAGTGTGGAACTCATTAGTGGCCAAAGGGAAAATTGGTCTTCTCACTGGACAGGTTAAGAAACCAGTGGCTGGTACAATTGAGCATGAGACTTGGATTGAAGTGGATGCGTTTATCCGAGGCTAGATACTAAACTCCATAACGCCTGAATTACAAGGTGCCTTCATCTTCGTCTCTACTGCAAAGGGATTATGGGAAAACCTGAAGGAGAAGTATGGTCAAGCCAATTGATCTTCCATATACCAATTGAAGCAGTCACCTGCCAGCTTAAAACAATGTGATGACTCTCTCACATCTTACGCAACGAAACTACAAGAACTATACGAAGAGCTAATTATAGTAGACCCTCCACCTGAATACTTATGTGGGATGCATCAGAAACTCATGGCCCGCATGGACAGAGATCTATTAACCCAGTTTTTGACAGGCCTAAATGACTCATATGAATTAGCCAAGGGCCAAATTCTATTAATGGATCCTCTTCCAAATATGAACAAGGCGTATTCCTTACTCTTGCAAGTTGAAAAACAGAGAGAAATTCACATTACAAAGGAACAAAGTGCCTTTATGGTTAATTGCAGAAATGCTGCATTTAAGAAGCCAACAGACAGAAGACAAGCTCAAGCTGAAAAGAAAAACCAAGATTGCAAGAGAAAAGGACACTCAAGGGAATCATGCTTATGGTATTCCTGATTGGTACAAAGAGATGGTTGAAAAGAAAATGATGGTTGGATGTGTTGTTTATGAGCAACAACAAGTTGTAGCTGAATCAAAGCAACCTCATCTTGACATAAGTTCCATGATCAAGGCTGAACTCCAGAAGCTTCTGCAGAACCAATCCATTGCGGACTCTCCAATGCTGCAATTGAATTTTCAGGTACCACCTCTCTTACTGGTCCTACACAGTTAGATAGTAATACTTGGTTAGTTGACAGTGGTGCATCTTGCCATATCTGCATGAATGACAAACTCTTGAACTTCCTTGTTCCTTTAAAGGCTGGTCCCAAAATCATTCTCCCAAATGGCTACTCTCTCACAGCCTCTCATGTAGGAACAATCACCATACATCCTTTCATTACTCTTACCAATGTCTATTATGTGTCTCACTTCAAGTTTAACTTGTTGTCTGTAAGTGCCTTAATACAAACTTCTAATTACAAGCTCTTATTTACACCTACATGTTGTATGATACAGGACCCATCATCTAATCAAGTCTTAGCAGTGAGAAGGCAAGAACAGAACCTATATACCCTACGATGCTCCTCCATTCCAACTCACAACTTAGCCTCTGTAACTACTCTGACCAAGTCCTTGTTCTGGCACTATAGACTTGGACATGCCTCTGAAACTACTCTTAAACACTTACCTTTTGTTACATCTTCAAATTGTAGTCCATGTGATATCTATCATAAATCAAAACAAACCAGATTGCCTTTTAATAAAAGTTCTTCATGTGCCTTGCATGCTTTTGATCTTCTCCACATGGACACCTAGGGACCTTATAAAATAGCTACTGTCAATGGTTGCCATTATTTTCTCACAATTATAGATGATTATTCAAGAGCCATATGGACTTACCTCTTACCAAATAAGCAAAACATCCACACTCTGCTAAACTCCTTCATTGTTCAGATTCATAATCGGTTTGGAATTACCATTAAGAAAATTCGAACTGATAATGGATCTGAATTTCTCAACCATAGCTGCAAAACCCTGTTCCAAAAATATGGCATCCTCCATCACCACTCCTACCCCCATTCACCTCAACAAAATGGTAGAGCTGAAATAAAACATAAACACCTCTTGCAAATTACCAGAGCTTTGCTATTCCAAGCTCATCTTCCTACTAACTTTTGGGGGAAAGCTCTCCTACATGCCACATTTCTAATGAACAGATTGCCCTCTTCTGTGCTTAACTGGTCCACACCCTTTTGAACTTCTACATCACTCCAAGCCAACTTATAATGACCTTAAGCCCTTTGGTTGCCTTTGCTATGCCACCAACATTGACCCTGCCAAATCAAAGCTTGATCCTCAAGCCCATAGGTGCATCTTCCTTGGCCTTCCTCCTGGCCAAAAGGGATATAAACTCCTAGATTTATCTCGCAATAAAAGATTTGTGGCAAGAGATGCTGTGTTCTATGAACATATCTTTCCATTTGATTCATTGTCAATGCATTCTCCAATCTCGTATAATCACTCCCTTTACATTGTCCAACCTAGGACCGTCTGAATCTTTACCTCAGACTGAACCATACCCTCCTGCAGCTCAATCCATAACCTAGGTTCCTACCTCTCCATATCAGCCACCTTTTGAATACCATTCATCTGCAGAACCTGTTGTATCCCCTGTGCACTCACCCTCACCTGCAGGAGTTGATGTGTCTCTCATGCATTCTTCTTCTTCTAGTCCAGCCATGTTACCCAATTCACCAGAGATTCCACATTATTCTCCACCATCTATATCATCCAAGAGACATATCAGAAAACCTCTCTGGATAAAGGTCTATGTCTCATCATGTCACTCCTCATCCTCATTTCCTAAGTCATTCATGCATATTTGGCATAATACTGCTTTTGTTACCTGTCAAGAACCAACTTCTTATGCGCAGGCCCAGCAAGATCCTAGGTGGAAAGCAAGAACCACACACTTGCCTTAAGGTCTCAAACCAATTGCTTGTAAATGGGTGTATCGTGTCAAAAGACATTTAGATAGGAGTATTCAACGGTACAAGGCACGTTCAGTTGCTAAAGGATATCTACAGGTGTATGGAAGGGACTACAATGAATCATTCGCTCCTGTAGCAAAGGTGGTAACCGTCAGAATCCTTCTTACAATAGCCTCAATGAATGGCTAGAATGTTCATCAACTTGATATAAACAATGCATTCTTGCATGACCATCTAGATGAAGATATCTATATGATTTCTCCTCAAGGAAACAATGTCCCAGCAGGCTATGTTTACAAGCTCAAAAAATCCCTTTATGGTCTCAAACAAGTACCACGACAGTGGTATAAAGAGCTTGGTGCGAAGTTGATTCAGTATGGCTTTAAGCAATCCTCTCATGAACCCTTGCCTATTCATTCTCTCCACATGAACACATTTCACAACCCTATTGGTGTATGTGGATGATATTCTCCTAACAAGGAATGATTCATCACGCATTGAAGAGCTGAAAGAATTTTTACACCAAGAATTCACCATCAAGACACTGAATACAACTAATCTTTTCCTTGGAATCCAAATTGACAGAACAGATGTTGGCCTTGTTGTCTCTCAACAGCATTTCATTGAAGACATATTGCAGGAGGCAGGATTTCTTAACTCCAATGCCTGTTCCACTCCAGTATCCTCAGGATCAAAGTTGAAGCATCAGGACGGACATGCTTTATCTAAGCCTGAGGCTTACATGCGACTAATAGGTAGACTGCTCTATCTGACTACCACAAGGCCAGACATTTTTTATGCAGTTCAACAGCTTACTCAATTTATGGATGCTCCTACATCTGAACATTGGAAGGCAGCTCATTGAATCATCAAATACTTGCAAGGTACAGAGAATCTCCGATTCTTATTCCCTTGCAAAGGACAATTCTCTCTTACAGCCTTCTGTGATGTTGATTGGGCAAGTTGTTTGGACACCAGAAAGACCCTCACTGGCTATTGTCTATTCCTTGGACCATGTCTTATTTCTTGGAAAACTAAGAAGCAACCGACCATTACCAAAACCTCGGCCGAAGCTGAATATAGAGCAATGACAACTACTATCTCTGAATTATTGTGGATAACATACCTGCTTAGGGATTTCCAAGTTCACTTGTCCACACGAACTCAGTTATATGGTGATAATCAGTCAGCTATTCACATGGTAAATAATCCGGTGCATCATGAACGTACGAAGCATATTAATGTGGATTGTCACTTTATTCGTCACTACTATGCATCAAGATTCTTTGAGCCAATTCATATTCCTTGTTCACAGCAGGTGGCTGATGTCTTCACCAAAGCACTGTCGTCTGCAACCTTTCACCATGCATGTATCAAGCTAAATCTGGTTCTTATTATCCATATCTCGCTTGAGGGGGATGTGTTGAATAATAATGATCATGCCATCTGTGCCACTTCCACCTCAGCAGATTTGGCTTTATCCCATTGCAAGCCTTATCACTCATTTGAGCCTGGCTAGGTGGCATTATGTTATAACCACATCTTTGTAAAAGTTTATTTATGGGTGGACCACATGACGTGGACGCAAGTTTGTTACACAGTTACATTCTTTGTAGATAAATAATCATTCAAAAGGCTGCAATATACAAGAGAAAACACTCGGCTTTTACTCTCTGCTTTTACTCTATGTTCTTTTCATCTCATTTGTTCTTGATTCTTTTGCCAATGTAAATTGCCCAGTTTCTTCAGACACCAATTTATATCACATTATACAACTATTTAAATTCAAGATTTTTACTATTTAAATCCCAACTCAAAATCCAAACCCCAAAACAAACACACCCTAATACATACCAATTTTTCTCTTTTGTTTTTTCTAAATACAATTATAAAATCATTTCAAACAAAAAACTAAATGCAAAATTGAAATTAATTATAATATGATTATTCACCTCGAAACACAATCAAACAGTGAAACTCTAATTTCTATACTCATTCGCAACTTAAGATTTTATTATTTTTAAAACCATCTAAGATATCAAAGAAAAAGGTAAATTATATCACACGCTCTTGTGTTTTTAGTAAAAATGCACAAAATACTATGTGTTTTATTTATTGCGTGAAACCTATTGGTTAATGTAAAGTTTGCACGAAACACTCTCATTGTTCAAAACTGATGTTTGAGTTTAAATAAAGACCTAAATTACTAGAGTTTTATACAAATAAAATAAATATATATATATATCTTAAATAATTTTTTTTGAATAAAATAAGTAAAAAATAATTAATTAATCCTCATTTTATAGATTTTTTTAGAGAAATGATTATCTGATTTTTACAAAAATTATAAAAATAAATGATTGATCAATTATTTATTTATTTATTTTATTCAAAAAAATTGCGTAATTTAAGTCTTTATTTAAAGCCAAATATCAGTTTTGGATAAAAAAAAAATGTGTTTCACGTAAACTTTATATTAACACAAGGGGTTCATCCAATGAATAAAACACAGGTCTTTTGTGCATTTTTATTAAAATGTTATACTCCCTCCGTCCCAATACAATAGTCTTGTTTACTACTTTTATCCGTCCCAAAACAATAGTCTTATTTCCATAAATAACTATATCACTATATAACTACCCTTACTCTTTCATTATTATTACACAATTATCACTACATTTTACATTAATAAACTTACAAGGGCAAAAATGTCTTTTACCTATACTTTTTAACTACTATCAGTATAATATCAATATTTCTTAAATTTCGTGTCCAACACAACCAATACTATTGTTTCGGAACAGAGTGAATATAATTTATCAAAAAAAACCCACAATATAAAAAATATATATATTTTTCTAAGTAGCCCATCCTATTAGTAGTTTACCTAGGTTGCTTAACTAGGGAGTTATAACAAAATATGGTGTGTTAGATTGCTATGAATTGAACAAATTATCTTGGTATTATGTAAAAACGATTAGTTAGCAAGCGACGGCGACGGCGCTACCACCCAATTGGGCGAGGTCGTCCAACAACTCTTTGATGTCTCGGTGGATATCGTCAGTGGGGAGGCGGTGGCGGCAGCAGGGACACGTATTCCGGTCGCCCAGCCACCGCAGTATACATTCCCAGTGGAACAAATGCCCACACGGCATTGCACACACACCTCTATCTCTATCTATATCTCTATCTCTATCTTCCCCCATATCTTCTTTACATATCGCACAGTACTCCCCCCTCACTTCCACCGTCGGCAGCGCCGCTACAGCCGCCGCCGCCGCCGCCGTATCTCCCTTCCCACCGCCACAACACATAACATCGACCAAATTCCAGCACCTCCCCACCGACTCAACGAACTCGAGCAAAACTCCTTCGGCAGAGAATCCGCCGCAAGTCGAAACTCGCAGGAGCGAGTCCGACATGTAATCGCGGAGAGCGACGCGCCACCGAGAGGGAGGCGCGTCGAGCAAAGTGCGATCGTGGCGGTCGACCTCGCATAGGAGGAGGAGGAGGAGGACGGAGTCGAGGTCCCGGAGCTTGACGGTGGGGTCGGGGTGGGAGGGGTTTAGGATCAAGGTTTTGAGAAGGGTGAGATTTGAGAAGAGATAGTGGGCAACGAGGAGGGACTTGTGGTGGAGAGAGAGTGATTGGAGGGTGAGAAGAGCGAGGGAGAAGAGAGCCGGGGAGGAGAGTACGGCGGAGAGGCGGTGGAGGCGGCGGTGGCGGACGACGGCGGAGATGGACTGCGTGAGCTGAGAGAAATGGGAAGAAGGGAGCGTGGAGAGTGAACCCATCATTAGGCTGGCCGAGTACATGCTGTCCATGTCCCTCGCCTCTCAACCTCTATACTTTATATCAGCCCAGAAAGGCGAAGTGATCTCCACATCGTAATATTACGAGTTTAAAGTTCTGATGTCTCTAAATTTTGTTTGTCGCATATATATGTAATTATAAAATGATACACTAGTCTCATTTACTTTGATATTTTAATATTAATTATTATATTAAAATATAATATATATTAAAAAAAAAATTACAAAATACTTTTATTAGTATCTTATAATGCTAATAGAAGGACATTTATATATGAAAAAAAAATTATACAAATATAAAAGTATTTTTAATGTTAAATAAAATAAAATAAAAGATAAATGTCACCTTAAAGACAAACAGAGAGAGTATTTTTTATTTTGATTCATTCCAAAATAAAGTTTTAAATATTTTTTTAAGTAAATGCTAAAATATTTGTACTAACTCATAGTCAGTCTGTTCATTAAGTATTTTTTAATAGAGTAATTTTTCATAAATATTATTCCATTAAAAGATACAAATATACACATATTAATATATATATATTATCTACTCGTAAAAATTTAATCATTGAACATAAAATATTATTTTTTATATTAGCAACACAGTTTCTCATACTACACACAAAATCAATTCATCCAACATCTAGTGAACACATTGAATATATTAAATACTTCCTCCGTCTGACTCAAGGGATCTCATTTATATTTTACGTCATTATACTTAACATTAAAAATATCTTTATATTTGTATAATTATTTGCACAAATATCATTATAATAGTATTATAAGACACTGGTAAAAGTAGTTTTGTCATTTTTCCTTGATTTGTACTACGTTTTCATATAATAATTAATATTCAAATATCAATATACAAAAAATAAATGAGATCTTTAAAGCCGGACGAAGGTATATATATTATTACATTTATTTAAAGAATATCATATATATATATATATATGATTTTATCTTCATTTGTATTTCATAAATATATAATAGGGGTGGATAGTCACAATATTATATTTATTTTTTAAGTGTAAACATATTTTTTTATATAATTATATTAATTTGTCCATAAAATAGTAAAATTATCATTTTACTATGCTTTTATTTACTTTTTCTTTTTCACCATCTACTTTGACAAGAAAAATAAAAAAAAATGAAGACAATATTAAATTAATAAAAATATACCAACTTCAGCCTCTCGAAATTTTAGGTTTGTTCCACCATGTACTATATATAATATTAATATTAAAAATTTATGAATAAAAGACAAAGAGATACTTTATTTTGAGACTAAAAGAATACTTCATCCGTCATCATTCAAAATATATTTTTTATCATTTTTGTTCGTCTAACTTCAAAATACATCTTTTTTTTGTTTTAGAAAAAATAATTATACACTAATACCAAAATACTTTGTCTTTTACTTAAATTACAATCATATTATTATATATACAATTACTTTATATATAAAGTTAAAGGGTACAAATGCCAAACACTCTTACACACTTTCACTAACTAATAAAATACTACTACATCCGTTCGGCTCTAAGAGTCTCTTTATTTTTTTAGTGTTGATTTTTAAATATTAATTATTATATCAAAATATAATACAAATTAAAAAAAAAATTGCAAAAAATAATTTCATTAATATTTTATAATACTAATAGAAGGACATTTGTAACAAAAAAAAATATTTTTAATGTTAAATACAATTATATAATTGGTAAATGTGACTAGAGGCAGACAGATGAAGTACTATTTTTTAATTTACAACGAAAACCAAACCGGCCACATTTGAATTGGGACAAAGACAAGTATGTTATATATTTTTACTATATATGTAATTTCATTTATATTTTTCCATTTACCATTTATATTTATCTCACTCAAATAACCACACTTTTATTTATAATCTATGTGATATGAGCAAAATAGTCTTTCACATATAAAAGTACTATCAATTACAATTTAAATAATATTATATTTTAATCTCCTCCGGAAAATGAATAATAATCATAGGATTTTTAATATATATATATATTTATTTATTTATTTTTTATAAAGATAGAATTGAAGTTTTTATAGAATTAATATATAATTCTTAAATTAACATAGGATTAGCTTAAAAAAATGTGTAAGATTCATCGGTAGCAATGACGCAAAAAGATAGAAAATTATAGATACAAATTTAAAGAATGAATTGTATTTTTTTTTTACATATTATAATATGAACACATTTTGTTAAACATACTAAAACTATAAAACAAGCATAATCTTACAAGACGGATAGAGTATTATTTTCACTTGATATATTACAAAAATATTTTAAGACAATACAAGTAAATGTAGAGAGAATAATAATTGTAATTTCAATGAAGGTGTAATTTAGCCTAATAATAATAATAATAATAATAATAATAATAGGGATGACACGATCATACAAATTGTAAGCCAGAAAATTAAGTTAAACTTACTTCTAGTTTCATTTTCTTTGTTTAATTATAACATTGCTACTCCCTTCGTCCCAAACAAGGTGCAACATTTGTTTTGGGCACGGGTTTTTAAGTGAGTAGTGTTAAGTATGATAATTTAAAAATTAAATGATATGATAGAGGAAAAAATATATATTTTATTTTTTTTATTTGGGCGATGGAATATAATAAAATGTAGGATAGAAATTAAGTATAATTAATTATTTTTTATTTTGGAAATATTGCAAGGTGTTTGGGACATAAAAAAAAATAAATAAATAAAATATTGCACGCTATTTGACACTGAAAATGTATTACATAAGGAAGCAAACTAAACTAGAGCCTAGTGTTTAAGAATAAAAAATTACAAAATTTCAGTATAATGATGAAAACAATGAATAAATTATGGAACAAAAAAAATGAATCGTAGCCAAACCCTTTTCCAATCACATTGGTTGCCATCCCCAAATATACATTGGGATGATGAATGAATAATTCATGAACATTCTCTGATACGTGTATAGTTATTAATATGTAGAATAATACTCCTTCTGTCCACAAACTAACGTCATATTTTTTTATTTGAATGTCCAACAATTGTTGTCTCCTTTTATTTTTATACACTAAATTTACTCTTTTACCCTTACTTTATTTACTCTCTCATTTTCTATACACAAGATTAAAGGTAAATTTGTCATTTTATAACAAAAACTCTAATTATCTAAAAATGAGTGTAAATATCAAATAGGACATTAAAAAATGGACGGAGGGAGTATCAAATCCTACGTCATAAAAAAAAAATAAATCAAATAATATTGGTGAATGCGTGATCTTGAGAGTAGCAATATAGTCATATTGTTGGGCATGTTATCATAGAGGTCTAGTCTAGTGTATGGGCAATGCATGTGCGGGCATGTCAAAAAATGAAGAAACCTAAAAAAGTAACTTTGATTAAAGAAGAGTCTGACTGCTTACCAGTAGCAAAAAGAAACATCAGATCCAAAGCAACCAATATTAAATCAAGAAAAAACATCTGTAAAGATGAGCCCCACTTCAATGCTCTCATAAAAATATATACATATATTTATTTATTTTTCTCTTCTTCTAAAATTATTTTTAAAATACAGAAATATTTATGGTAGTAATAGCAGTGGAAGTAATGGTTTTTTCACAATTATCACCAAAAACAATATAAAGTTCATATGTAGTTAATGAAAATTGTATGAAATCTCATTGTTTTTAAAATGTGTTAAGATCCTTTTATAGTTTCAGAAATTCTGCATTTAGTCCTCTTTCTGTTATAGTTAAAGATTATTATTCTACATGTGATCTAACTGCAAAGATAATTCAGAAATTTCATAACAACAAAATATTTTATTATTTTTTACTAAAAAATAAAATGAAAATATTTTAAGTAATAGATAAAATATATATATATATATATATAGGTGATTTAGGAAAACATTGGGCGCACAATGGTATTTTCATGTTGTTTTAATAGCACTCCCTGTAACATAATTCTCTTCACATCTTCAATCCTAATAATAGCCAGACATGATATGGATCTAAGCTAGAAGATTATATAAAATTTCACACACAATAGACAAAAAAAGTAGTAGTTAGGTGCATTATTGAGCATGGCATGTATGAATAACAACAATGGTGTGTGTGTGTGTGTGTGACATTGGAAGTTGATATGGTGGAGTAACATGGAAGAGAGTGGATGGAAATGTTGGGTTCTTGTCCACAACTGAGTGTCATTTCTTTTCTGTCATGCTTAAGGCATACTCTACTTTCTATGGATCTATCTGTCTATCTATTCACTAAGGTGTAAAGAACAAATAAGAAGATCCCAAATGCAAGTTGGACACATATATCTTGATGCATCTCTTGATCATATGAAAACATTAGATTATAATGCATATACAGCTGCTACTGTTACTGATTACTAACTAAGTTTACCTGGATTCGGCAACCTGCTTGTCGTCTGTGTCTGAACTAGTGGATTGGTTTCCATGGTGCACGTAGGATCAAATACCTGAACATGGTAATATATCAATGTTAGTATCCCCGGATGGATCAAAACAAACTGCACGAAAGCTGAGAAGGTTGTCTATAACAGTATAAGATGGTAAGGAAAAATGTGTAATCACAGTTGGAACCAATTGAAAAGGACATGTGAGTGAGGGGCCAATCAGAATGATGAATCTTAACCATAGCATAATGATGTGTGCATGATGAATGTACAATTTCTTCGGCATAAGAATCCTAAGCAGGTCTATCGATAAGTAATGAATCTTCATGAAGAAACAGCAAACTGAAGTAAAGGTGTTAATTCTACAAGAATATTAAACTTGCTTGCCTAAGAAATGTATGAACTATGCACAAAAAACTAAAAGCATCAAAATTGCTTCATATAAAATTGAAGAACAGAGATTAGCAGGATATCAGATCCATCATGGATCCATCCTTTTCTAGAGAATCATTGTAAAAGATCAGGATCTCAGAGTATAGATAAAGAAAAATCATTAAGTAAGCTCCATAAAATATCCATTAATCCAACACCTATAGCTTCACCATCTCATAGATAAGAATCAATTTTCATTTTGGACTCTCATGCTCCAATCTATCCCACCTAAGGGAACATATTCATTTGTGTCAATCAGTAACCATATGGCCTCAAACTCAGCAATTCAGACTTATTCCTCATCGACTTTGGTAGTCTTGAGAGATCATAAACCTAAATTAGTTTTGTAATTTGTAAAGCCACCTCCTGCTATTAAATTTTGCAGCTCCCCAGAAGCCTCTACGCGGCTGGTTGCAGCAATTTTCTTAAACCCAGTGTTCTTCATTTTCGCTCTGACCCCTTCAGCTTCTTCCCATCTACCAGATTTTGAATAGAGATTTGCCATTACAATATAATTGGTTGGATTTTCCGGCTCCAATTCAAATAAATGACTGCACACAAACTCAGCAAGTTCAATGTCATTGCATTCCGAGGCTCCAGTCAGCAGGGCACCCCAAACCCCAGGGGTGGGTTCCATTGGCATTTTCTTGACAAATTCCACTGCTTCGGAAAGCCTCTTCGCTCGGGTCAGACATGCAACCATACAACTATAATGATTAGCCAAAGGCTGAATTCCATATTTTGGAAGCACATCATTGAATATTTCCCAAGCCTTGTCGACCAGCCCAGAATGAGCACAAGCTGACAACACAGCAGTATACGTCACGGCATCTGGCTTTATCCCCCTTTTCAACATCTCCTCAAATAGACTAAGGGCCACCTTAGCATCTCCATGAGATGCATATGCAGAGATTATTGCTGTCCAAGCAATCACGCTCCTATTATCTATTAGATCAAATATTTTTTGTGCTCCGCTCAGAAATCCCAGTTTCGCGTACACATCAATGATGGCTGAGACTACATATATATTCCTATCTGAATTTGTCTTGATTGCATAAGCATGAATCTCTTTTCCTGCTTTCAAATGGGAGACATGTGGAATGGCTGGAAGAATACTTGAAAGTGTCATACTGTTAGGCTTCGTCCCCGATCCTTGCATTTGTCGAACGAAATCTAGAACCATATCATACCGATTGTTCTGAACCTTACCCGAAATCACAGCATTCCAAATACTCAATCCGGGGTTGTTTATTTCGTGGAATAAGTCCATCGCCTCATCAACATGCCCATGACTCATGTACCCAGAAATAATTGTGCTGTAAGTTATTTCATCTTTTTCAGTCATCTCCTCGAAAAGCTGTCTGGCATAATCCAAGCTGCCACACTTTGCATAAACAGCGATGATTGAATTACAGACTGACAGATCCATTTCAATCCCATTATCAGTCACAAACTGATGCACTTTCATTCCAAAAATAAGATCAGCCGATTGTGCACATGCGTGCAGAACGCTAACTGCTGTAACCCCATTGGGCCTTAGATCTTCTACGCCCAACATCATTTTGTACAAATCCTTGCATTCCTGATAGAAACCCCCTTGCGAGTACCCTGAAATCATTGAATTCCAAGATACCAAGTCCCTTTCAGGCATTTCGTCAAATAAAGCCCTAGCAGAGACTAGATCATCACACCTCGAATAACAAGTCACCAATCCATTGCATACAAAAACGTCAAAATCAAGCGCGTGTTTAATCACATAACAATGCATCATCCGAGTCAAAAGAGGTCCATCCACCGCCACTTCCGACATTGCCTTAAGCGCACAGCTTAAAGTAAAGCTGTCCGGCTTAACATCAGACAAATCCCAAAACTCATTCCTGCGGGGTAAGCTCGCCGCAAAGAGCTCCAGCACCGCATTGTGTCTACTATGCAAGGAATACGCAATGAGGAGGGCGTTAAAGGAGAAAGTGTTCTTACTGGGAATTTGATCGAACACGTGGTGGGCGCAGGATAGCTGATTAGTTCTGGAATAGAAAGCAATGAGCTTTGAGGCGAGAAAGTTATCGGCAGTGGTGGAGACGAGAATGAGGCGGGCATGAATCTGCTTGGCCTGACGGAAGAGGCGGCGCTCGGCGCAGCGCTGGATGAGATGCCCGTAGAGTGAGTAGCGAATGGAGCGGCCATTGGTGATTGGAGCGTCCTGTAGAAGCGCCTGAATGCTTTGGCGGGTGAATGGTGCTGTTATCATTTCAAACTAAACATCAGAAATCATCCTTCATTAAAAACAAACGTCTTTGATTGTGTATGTACATCATAGAGCTAGCTGAAAGCGTGTGTGCGTGGACAAACACTACACTTTTTAGTGATAACTCTTCATTTGTTGCACGTTCTACTAACACTTTTGATCTTGATCGTGTAGTTTGGACAGTCATATTTTTTTGTCCAAAAAGTTTCGTGTTTTAAAAGATATTACTCAAAATCTATTTTTTTTTTTTTTTTAAGAATATTTGTATAATATTTTTTGAAAATAAGAAAGAGAAAAGAAAAATCATAAAATGTTATAAAATAACTAATACTACTGTTGATGTAATTTTTCAACAAAAATAAAGTAAAATTCAAAGATATAGAAAATATCCTTAAACTTGATTAATTAGTGCCTGAGATTAGGAATCGCTAAACACTGTATGGTACAGAAAATAAACTGGAAAATAAAAGACTGAAATTTAAAGTGGTGATCCCCAAATCTGACTTTGCTTTGTTGAAGTTGATTGAAGATGCCTTGCCAAATGATGATCCAAATCCTTAAATATTCCCTGGGAAACCGTACTGAAAACCGTCACCCGAACGGTTACAACGTCTCCTTCTCAACCGTCTTCCAACCTTTCTTATGCTGACACGTGTCCCCAGCAGACCAAAATTCCCTATATTTCACTCCTTGAGCCGACCACAGACCTTCCGCTCTTTTGGCCCGACTTCGTCCTTCGTCCGACCTACTTCTTCGCCCGACCCCACTTGGGCCGACCTCCATATCAACCGCCCCCTGTCTTTGATCAAAGGCCTCCGTGTTTGTCCGACTCCTCCTTCTATCCGACCTACAGTTTACCCGACCTGCGGATATCCCATCTCAACGACTTTCCGTCTCGAGGACCTCCCGACTTGAAAACCTTCCGACTCATCGTCTTTCCGTCTTGCGGACCTCCCGACCTGAAAACCTTCCGACTTGAGGTCTTTCCGTCTTGCGGACCTCCCGACCGGAAGACCTTCCGACTTGAGGTCTTTCCGTCTTGCGGATCTCCCGACCTGAAGACCGTCCGACTTGAGGTCTTTCATCTTGAGGGCCTCCCGACCTGAAGACCTTCCGACTTGAGGTCTTTCCGTCTTGCGGACCTCTCGACCTGAAGACCTTCCGACTTGAGGTCTTTCCGTCTTGCGGACCTCCCGACCTGAAGACCGTCCGACTTGAGGTCTTTCAGTCTTGCGGATCTCCCGACCTGAAGACCGTCCGACTTGAGGTCTTTCATCTTGAGGGCCTCCCGACCTGAAGACCTTCCGACTTGAGGTCTTTCCGTCTTGCGGACCTCTCGACCTGAAGACCTTCCGTCCTGAATTTTTCTTAGAAATAAATAAATAAATTTATTTTCCTTGATTTCCTCACGGTGTCCTTCAGCCAGTTCAATCAACCCTATTGCCAGGCCCATTCCTCGTTTTACCTTGGGCTTTTAACCTAATTCTAAATTTCGTACGTAACAACTTGCCCGCCGCCAAGGGACTTTCAAACGCCAATAAATGTTTGGAAGTTCATAAAGCACTACCTTCTCGAGAAACTCCCTTAGCAACTACACCAGTTACTGCAACACTCCTGGTTTATTCCTTCTTCGCAATACAAGCCTGTGTGAATCACAATCCCAAAACATTCTAACTATGGCGAATCAATACATTCCTGCCCTTCCTTTCGACGGAACCCTTCCAGAAGGTCCATTTTCAGCCTCGAAAGTACTAACTCCGACGATCCGTCCATATTGCACTACTCCCGAAGATTCAAATCGGATGAGGGAAGTTTTGGAATCTCGCAACGCCTTGGCTATCAACAATCCCAACTACCAAGCAGTTCGCATCCGAGACAGCATCAAGACCCATCTCACAGACCCAAAAGATCTGTATCGTGCTTGGTATCGACGAGTAGCAGAACACTTCCAGACCCAATGGCGATCCCAAAAGATCGACCAAGCAATACTACTGTCTACCATGCCTATCAACCTGCATGAGAAGGTGTTGTTGGCCATGTCCGCCTTCTGGAATGCGGAAAATGGGACTTTCCTTTTGCCCTCGGCCCCCTTTGGCCCAACCCTTATGGACGTGGCCATGATCGCACATCTCCCAGTCGTGGGTGAAGACCCTGTAATGGGAGCCCTAGATGGGCAGGAGCCATCAGAAGACCATCCGGGATGGTCTTTACAAGGTGTGAAGGAATGGGGTTGGACAAAGTTCGCAACCGACCAGCAAGGGGCTCCAGGGACTCCTGTAACCGACCGGGAGCATACTGCCTTTATTCTGTTCTGGCTTTGTAGGTACATCATTGTTTCTCCTTCCAAAAGTGTTCTTCCTTCTCACCTCGACCTGGCCATTCATATTGCGTCAGGTCGGTTCTTCTCCCTTGGTACCCTATTTTTAGCCAATCTGTTTGAAGGACTCACCCGGGTTAGCCTTCGTTTAACAGATAACGATAATAGGAAATTAGACACTGCCGCGTCGGGTCCTTTTTGGTTTTTAGAACTTTGGTTCCGTCTTTACTTTCCCAACGCGTTTAACTTAGGATCTCCGCCCACTATGCCAACATCTGAAAAACATTTAGGATTAGTCCTCAACCGACTCTACTCAGGACGCAATAAACTCCAATCATCCGATCCAATAATAACTGCCATTTTAACAGATACCCGCAGTAACTCTCGATTTTCTATGTATAAAAAGTATGCGGGTTATGCTCCCGACCATTTTTGGCCCTTTCCAGTACCAAACCCGCTTCCGACTCCTGAGCCTTGTCCTCATCCCACCTATCCTTTCGCCTGGGACGTCGCCCTCAAACCCAGGTCTCTTTTTAGTAGCAAGAAACTTGATAAAAAAGGGCAGAAAACTTTTTACACTTTTAACTATGAACCTCAATTCATGGCGCGTCAGTTCGGCTGTTGCCAAGGTATCCCCGGACCCGTCGCGGGTCCCCAAATAATTTTTCAAAGTCCCGACCGACGAGTCCTTCCTAATTCAATCCCTTCTTATATCTCCCAGCTTACCACGTATATAATTTCCAATTCTTATATTCCCTTCCGCTCCAACCCTGAGAGTGTAGATACTTTCAATGAATGGTGGTCGGTCGTATGGTCCCTGATATCCCCTGATGAGGGTCGGTTGCTGAACGTACTCCTCCCTCCCCAAGGACTGGTTCTAGGGGCGGCGATACATACTAGCACCCAAAAACAAACAACCGCCCCGGGAATCGGATCTGGGGGTCCCACGCGCAAAAGAAAAACTTCCCAGCTGCAAACACCCCCGACCTCGGAGACCGACCAGCAAACACTAGCAGACCTTGGAATAACTAGGACGTCAGCAAGGACCCGACCCCGAATTGGTAATGTTTCTTAACACCGTGAACCAATTCACTATATCATAACTTTGATTTCACTCATTTCATTCCCCAGAACCGACCTTGGTGACACCGACCAAGCAACCGACGCCAGCACCAACCGACCATTCAATCGGGCCTTTGGTCCAGACCAATTTGCCAATGAGCAGTCGGGCGGAGGACCCGACGCGGAGGCAAACCCCTCCTCCCGTACCGAGGAGTGGTCGGGCCAGGCCCCCGACCAGGAAACAATCTTTACCAACAGTGCCTATAGAACCAGTAAGTTCCTTATCAGCAAGACTTAAGATTCGGATGATCAACCTTAATATATTTAACAACAAACATCTTCATGATTTTTCCATAGACACCTTCACCCATCCCATCAGCAGCAGGGGTCTCTTCTGACAGCGAGGGGACTACTTCCCAGATGGGTCGGCCGTCATACATGGCATCAGACTCATCTATATCAAAGGAAAAACCAGCCGCCCTCGCCGAAGCTGACCCTCAGAACGACATCCCTGATGCTGCTGATCCCGAAATCGAAGGTGCCCCAGAGATCCTGGCTGCAGTGGCTCTAGATGTAGCCGTCCAACCTGCAACCGCCCTACCAGCAGCGGCGCCCCCCCTAGCCATCGAATGGCAGGCAGAAGAACCACCTGTGGCAGCCCAACCTCCAGAAATGGAAGAAATGTCTTCATCCGATTCGGAGACTTCTGTGAATTTGGTAAGATTAAACCAATCCAGGTCATAACTTTTCTTTCGAAAAACACTAACTGTTTCCAATACTACTTTCCATAGGGACCCAGGTCGGCACCTCAGCGACCATTCGCAGCAGCCGACGAGTCGGCTGCTGTTATACCAGCTGTCTGCCCAGCTCGACCGACCTCATTGCTACCCCCCTCACTGACAACAGTCCGCCCAGAGGTACCACATATCTTCTTTGAACAAAGTTGCAACCCCCTTGGAATATTTATTGACATTGTAGGACTTGCAGGGGCCTTCGGACTTAGCCGTCCTATCGACTGTTCCGGTTCCAGCGGAGGCCCAGACTGTGTTCACTGAGGCCATTAACCGTCCCCTGTCCGAACTAAGGTCCGACTTATTGGACAAACTCATTCAGACGGTTGGTGGCCTTCTTTTTTACACTCCAACGGAATCACCAGCCGTCCCCATTCTGCATCGGCTGATGGAAAGACTTACAGAGCTCAAGACTGAAGTGGTAGTCATTGGCCTTCTGTCAGCCGAAACCCCCCAGCCCGACTTCGATCAAACAACGCTGGAGAATTCTTTGGCCAAGACTCGAGAATCCCTTCAGCATACTACTGGAAGACTGGGTGGTCTCCTTAGCACGAAAGCTCTGGTTGATGATGCCATTCAGAAAAAGGAGGCAGAATTGCGGGAGCTGAGGAAAGAACAGTCTACCCTGGATAAGCAAATTACCAATGAACAGCATCTGCTTGAGAAGTATACCAAAAATGAGGCTGAATTGGATCAAGAGCTGAAAACCCAAGCCCGATCCCAATTCATCAGAAGATATCAGACGGCTGCCAATACCAGAAGGCTATCCAGGGATGAAAACAAATGGACACAGATAAAAACTGCCCTAGGGGCACTGTTGTAATATTTCCCCCTTTGTAACAACAACTGACTTAGTAATCCATTTTTTCTTTCTTCTCTCAAAACAAGGATCACCTTTCAATTCCCAGCTTTATAGGAAACGAACCAAACTCCTTCTTTAAAAGCACACTGTTTCTCACATTTTAAGAAACATATTCCCAGGC